AACCTTATGCATACATACACACATACACATATAACCTTATGCACACGCATACATATATAACCTTATACACGCATACATATATAACCTTATACACGCATACATATATAACCTTATACACGCATACATATATAACCTTATACACGCATACATATATAACCTTATACACGCATACATATATAACCTTATACACGCATACATATATAACCTTATACACGCATACATATATAACCTTATACACGCATACATATATAACCTTATACACGCATAATATAACTATACACGCATACATATATAACCTTATACACGCATACATATATAACCTTATACACGCATACATATATAACCTTATACACGCATACATATATAACCTTATACACGCATACATATATAACCTTATACACGCATACATATATAACCTTATACACGCATACATATATAACCTTATACACGCATACATATATAACCTTATACACGCATACATATATAACCTTATACACGCATACATATATAACCTTATACACGCATACATATATAACCTTATACCGCATACATATATAACTTATACACGCATACTATATAACCTTATACACGCATACATATAAACCTTATGCATACATACAACACATACACATATACCTTATGCATACATACACACTACACATATAACCTTATTGCATACATACACACATACCATATAACCTTATGCATACATACACCATACACATATAACCTTAGCATACATACACACATACACATATAACCTTATACACGCATACATAATAACCTTATACACGCATACTATATAACCTTATACATACACACATACATACATACATAACCTTATATATACATACACACATTCATAATCTTATATACATACACATATAACCTTATACAACGCATACATATATAACCTTATACCGCATACATATATAACCTTATACATACATGCATATATAACCTTATACAACGCATACATATATAACCTATACACGCATACATATAAACCTTATGCATACATACACCATACACATATAACCTATGCATACATACACACATACAATATAACCTTATGCATACATACACACTACACATATAACCTTAGCATACATACACACATACACATATAACCTTATACATACACACATTCATAACCTTATATATACATACATACACACACACATACATACATACATAACCTTATATATACATACACACATACATACATACATAACCTTATATATACATACATACACACACACATACAAACATACATAACCTTATATATACATATACACATACACACATACATACATACATAACCTTATATATACATACACACATACATACATACATAACCTTATATATACATACACACATACATACATACATAACCTTATATATACATACACACATACATACATACACACATACATTCATACATAATCTTATACATACATATATAATCTTATATATACATACATATATAATCTTATATATACATACACATACATTCATACATAATCTTATACATACATATATAATCTTATATATACATACACACATACATACACATATAACCTTATGCATACATACACACATACATACACATATAACCTTATGCATACATACACACATACATACACATATAACCTTATGCATACATACACACATACATACACATATAACCTTATGCATACATACACACATACACATATAACCTTATGCATACATACACACATACACATATAACCTTATGCATACATACACACATACACATATAACCTTATGCATACATACACACATACACATATAACCTTATGCATACATACACACATACACATATAACCTTATGCATACATACACACATACACATATAACCTTATGCATACATACACACATACACATATAACCTTATGCATACATACACACATAACCTTATGCATACATACACACATACACATATAACCTTATGCATACATACACACATAACCTTATGCATACATACACACATACACATATAACCTTATGCATACATACACACATACACATATAACCTTATACATACACACATACACATATAACCTTATGCGTACATACACACATACACATATAACCTTATGCGTACATACACACATACACATATAACCTTATGCATACATACACACATACACATATAACCTTATGCATACATACACACATACACATATAACCTTATGCATACATACACACATACCCATATAACCTTATGCATACATACACACATACCCATATAACCTTATGCATACATACACACATACACATATAACCTTATGCATACATACACACATACACATATAACCTTATGCATACATACACACATACCCATATAACCTTATGCATACATACACACATACACATATAACCTTATGCATACATACACACATACACATATAACCTTATGCATACATACACACATACACATATAACCTTATGCATACATACACACATACACATATAACCTTATAAACGAAACAAAACCATCGTTATTTTTCCGACAAGCTCAGAAATTCTCCGACAAAAGGGCAGTTTAGCCTTATATAACCTTATACATACATGCATATATAACCTTATACATGTATATATACATACATAAGCATATACGTGTCCGGACATGAATAAATAACACGGTTTTATCCCCAGAAGTCCGCGTGGAAGTGTCCAGCTCGACCAACGGCGCCGTCGCCGTGAACGCCTCGCCAGCACAGCACGACTCCTTCCTGGCCCTCTGCGTCGACGCCAACGACCAGCCGCAGGATGTTTGTGGTAAGTTACGGTGTGATTAGCAGTGGCTGCGTATTAGTTAAATATACAATGCACTATATAATGCAGTTGTGGTTATATGATCGTAATACCAGGGTATTTTTTCGCAGGTGACAACGGCCGCGTGACCCCCGTGGACCGCGACAGCAAGCTGTCCCCGGCCGCCCGCAACAGCCCTGAGTTCGTCTCCACTTACATCCAGCAGCTCGACAACTACCCCGCCGCCCAGGCCCCGCCCCCGCAGTGGTACAGCTACAGCAGCAGTCAGTGGGCGCCCTACGGCTACCTCCCGCCCGCGCCCCCGACGGCAGTCTACACCGCCAACTACTACGCCCCGCAGCCGTACCCCGCCGGCCCGCAGTCACCACAGCAAATCTACTCCGGGCAGCACGTCACCTACTACGCGGCGCCGCCTCCGCCCGCGTTCTCGCACCCCGGCTGGGGCCCTCCCCCCCACAGCCCCAACCCCGCCAATGCCCCGTCGCCCACCCTGCCTCCGCACGGCCAGTCGGGGCCGCTGCCGCCCTTCAGCCACCCTCAGCGTGGCTCCTTCACCTACAGCTCCCCGATCTACCACCCGGCCTCCACCTCCCACCTGGACGAGGCCGAGACCCATACCGTCCACACGACGCACTCCGGACAGACCTCGCACTCCACGATGCACGGCCAGACCAGCTTGTCGCCCCACTCCCCCCCGGCCCACACTACGCACCTGCCCCCCCTGGGCCACAACGCCCACCTGTCCGCTCCCCACCCGGCCAGCCTCCCGCACCACGTGACCCAAAGCGCCGCGTCGATGGGCCTGAACAGCGTGAAGTGCGAGCCGAGGGAAGTGACGAGCACCAGCAGGAACACCGACCAAGGAATGCCCGCCTCCACCGGACGCTCCTCCACGCGGGTCTTCAGTTCTGCACTCGAGGCCACCTGCGCTCTCTGCGGGGTCAAGTTTGCATCTTCCGGGCACTTGAAGCGGCACCTGCAAGCCCATGGTGCCAACAGGAGGTTTCGGTGCCACGCCTGCGACTGCGCCTACAGCCGCCAGGACAACCTCAGAAAGCACGTGGCAGCCGCCCACGAGAACCACAACGCAGCAAACTAAGGGAGGCCTTCTTAAGCCTCTGCCGCCAAAGTCATTTATGCACAATAGATTCCCGCGGGAATGAGCCGTTCTTTTTCACGCGAAGAAGAGTAAACTTGAAAGTCACATTGTAGTGGGGAGTATACAGGTTCCCAGTTATCTTTTTGCAGTTCTAGTACTCAGTCAGTGTCTGAAATATTTTTAGGAAGCATTTTAATTGCTCTGGTGCAGCGACAAGTTTCTATGTCCGACATCAGGAAAAATGTAAACTTACTGTATGAGTTTCCCTCGAGACTTACTGAATATATCATGTAAAATATTTGTATTTTTAGGAATTGTATTTGATATGATATGCATTGCATAGCAGACCAGACAATTAACATGAATGTGATAACTCATGTGCCCGATGAATGAGTGAATATATGTGTGTAAATATGTAAATAGAGTTTATATACGTACGGCTTGTATTAATTTTAGTTTTACCAATTATTTGAGAATATAGCACGGGGAAACTGAAAGCAAGGTTGAGCTTTTTTATCACTAATAATTATAGAAACAAAGGATAGCCTGATAGATTGGAGATATGTACTTAATGGTAATTTATGCTGTACAGTTTCCCTGTTTTTGTATTTGCGATTTGGTCAATAAATTCCCTTTCACAGTTTTAGCCTGGTATTATTAAGAGCTGCTTTTAGTTTGTTATAACCGAAGAGAGATGAATGATCTATGGAATTATACTAATGCACAGTAATGATAGTAAATGCACATTCATATGACACCATTACATTGATAATAACCGACATAGTATTTCAGCATACTAAAGGATTTTATATAGCTTTGACAGCTGATCATAACACTGTTAATGGTGTATATGTATATGGGTAGAACTGTATATGTAACATTTAGTTCATTTACAACACACGCACACCTGCATCCATCCACTCACGAAGATACACCTATCTTCCTATAAACATATATTCATGTATATGTATGTGAATTATATATATATATGTACATATATCATACATGCATATACACACATACATATATATAATATATATACATATATATATATATATATATATATATATATATATATATATATACATATATATACATA